TGTCCTGCGAGTCTCCCGAATTCCGTCTGCAGACATATGTAACCCTCGCTCCGTCATCGCTCCTTTTATAACATGTCCTAAACTATTTGCGCCCCGCGTTTGCGCAAGGGTTGGGTACGTCGCCAGGGTAATTGTTTACAGACTGGATGGGAGGTCCCGGATTGGGTTGCTATCAGCCGGAATACGAGGTAGGTGGGGGTATATAGTGATAAGGAACAAGGATAAGGGGGAGGGGTAGAGGGAGAGGAGAGGAGAGGAGAGGAGAGGAGAGGAGAGGAGAGGAGAGGAGAGGAGAGCAGAGGAGGAACGCAGGGGGCTGTCTCTTCAAAACGAGGACCCCACACCACAGGATGGCTGGGACAAAAACACAAAACATATCGATTATTAAGACAGGATGGCGCTTGAAGAAGTAACCTGGGATCTGGGAGTCCAACAATACCTACTTTCAAAGACCGACGTGTATTCCCCCCGCCCTTCTGTGGCGACGCGCAGGGAGGAGAGACGAACGACCTCCGGGAGGTTGGGCCTGATACGACGCCAAGACTGGGACAGACTCGGACCTGGATAAATCGGGGCACCCCTGAGATCTTGTAGCTCTGGAAGATGTGCCGCGTGCCGCTGCCTTTCCAGAACGCTCACTCACGCTCTGAAAGCGTTTCCGAAGGCTCTGGAACGATTAATCCCGGCCCGGGTGCATCGGTCCCTTGTGCTCCCGCAGCCCCCTGGACTGCCGGGCTGGGGGCTTCTACATCTATCCAGCGTCGATGGGGCGGCGGAGCGTGGCGCTGGGGGGCTTCTACATACATCCACCGCCGCTGGGGGCTTCTACATATATCCACCACCGGCGAACGTGGCCGAAACTCGGACCGCTGACTCGGGGCAGATGGGGAGAAGAGGAGGAAGGAACGCACGAGAAACCAGGCGGCGACGGATATGAATCATGAACTTGCCCACGAGGCAGAAAAAGAGGGAAGGAGGAAGGGGCGGGGAGAGCGAAGCTGCAAACAGGCGCTCTTCAGGCAGCCCGCCTCCCCGGCGCGCCCTCCCAGCTCGCCCCTTCCGGCGCGCAGGCAGGGATCACGTGAAGACTTCCCTGTCCACCTCTGGCCCCTGGGGTCCAAGAAGTTGGCGGCGAGCCTGGGGGGGAGTGAGAAGAGGCGGGCCTGCTCAGAAGGCTCGGAAGTCCTCTGGCCTCCTGGGAAGTGTTCTGAACCTTCCCCGGAAGCGCGGCAAAATTCTCGGAGGGCCAGGGGGCTCCTGAGAAGTCCTGCCGACTTCTGAGAAGGCCTGCTCCTTCTCACTTCCCCCCTTCGCTCGCCGCCGAGGAAGATCGCCAGGCGCGGGGTTCATTATGCATCCCAGCCTTGTGTGGAGGGTCCTCGTCGCCACGGCAAGACGAAGCTCGAACAACCGGGCGGGGCGGACCCCGGGAGGGCCCGGGGGCCAGGTCTGGAGCGGGCGCTGGTCGGGGGCGGGGCGAGACGAGCGGCACCCAGAGAAGGCAGGTAAGGGGAGCCTCGCAGAAGGGCCCTGAGGGCCTCCGAGGTTACAGCTAACCCGTAGAGTACGGGCGCACCACAAGGATGCAAGGGCCCTGGAAGGCCATGCCAACACTTTGCGAGCGGGGCGCGGCCAGCGAAAGCGGCGAGGGATGGGCCGAAGGGGATGCAAGGGAAACCGTGGAACGGCGCTCATTCTTGCTATGCGGGTTGACTGTATTGCTCCACTGCGCGCCCGAGGACACGTCCAACCTAGAATGGGGTGAGGTCCGCTGCAGCCTGGGACCCTCGAGACATACCACACGGGTTATGGCTCCAGCCTCGGAGAGGGGCTGGCTAGGCGAGGCTAAGCGAGGCTGCGCCTATGTCGTCCCAGGGGGACGGCCCTACGCGGGGCTAGGCGGTGGCGCCGGGGCGCCGGCATCACTCGAGCATCACATACCGTATCGTTGCCATGAAATTCCATACCCTGTGGTTGTGTCGCTGTGGTTGCGTCGCCTATTTCGTTCTCTGCTTCACAGTCGGGGCGCTCTCGCTCCTTGCTTCACAATCGTGCGCTGTCACTCTCTGCTTCACAGTCGGGCGCTTTCGCTCTGCTTCACAGTCGAATGAAAATCTGGTTCACAGTCGGGCGCTTTCGTTCGAGTCGGGAGGTTGGGAGCTGGAGTCGGAAAACTAAGAGCCGGAGTCGGAAGACGGGAGCTGGAGTCGGAAGATGGGAGTTGGAGTCGGAAAGAATGGAGGTAGGAGTCAGAAATTTGGGAAAAACAGAGTTGGAATATTGAAATTGTGTATCATACCCTGACCAACTTATCCCATGTCCTGTGCTTGTGTCGTTGTTGGACGTGGTTTACGGGACGCGTATGAATCTTCCATTTTTGCCCATCTGTCAACGTCAGATATCACCGATTCCCACTCCTTTGCGCACGTCGTACGAACAAAACTTGAAATATCGTCAACCCACCGTTTGTATGGTCGGTGTGGCGGGCGCTTCGCATTGATATGTGTGGACAGTGGATCCCACATCAGAACTTTTCGGCTCCACTTGTCCATGTCGTTGTGGAACACTGCAGATACAGACCTCCATTGTAATCGTTTTTGTCGTGCGCACCAGTCTTCGTACCCAAGTTCGGCGCAATATCTTTCAATGTGTTTGGTCGTGCGGCGAATCCACTCGTGCCATGGTTCCAAATCATGTATTGGGGAGCTCGGGCTCGTTGGCGACGTGGTGTGGCTGTCATCAGAGTCGGCGTCGTTGCTGCTGCTGTTGCTGCTGCTGGTCGTGCCGTTGTTGCTTCTACCAGAATCGGAGTTCGAAGCCGCGGTCGAGCCGTCGGTCCGGTGCTCTATAGCCGGCTCTGCGCTAGTGCACGGGGCTTGGCGTCGTGGAGATCCAAGGATCAGCCTTAGCATGTAGCGCTGTGTAGACCGTATTCGTGACTCCAACGGAACCGTCAATGTCCAAGACCCAACACCATAAAGTAGCGTTGTAGAAACGGTGCCGTGGAATAGCCGTAAGCGGTCCTTTAATGAATACGAACGCGAAGTGAGCTCCTGCTTGAAGAGGCCGAACTTCTTCCAGGCAGCTTTGATTCGAGATTCAACCTCTGTCGCAGCAGGGTTGCAACAAGTTATGTTGCGCCCGAAGTACTTCTGCACACCATCGAATGGTAGTACTTCGATGTTCTGCCCATTGATAGGAGTGTGCTCAGGGTGACCGCCCGGCCGCCGATGCTCCACATTGTGCAAGATCTTGGTCTTCCCGGGATGGATCTCCAGACCGGTAGGCTGTGCTGCATCCATCACATCACGGATCATGGATTGCACCTGCCTGAGTGAAGTTGCAAGCAATAGAACGTCGTCAGCAAAACGGAGGTTGGTAAGCCAGCCAGAAAAGTCTGCCACTTGTACTCCGTACTTCTTGGCGGCCCATTTCGCGCGAAGCTTTCCGAATACGAACTCTGACAGACAATTGAATAGCAATGAACTCAAAGGGTCGCCTTGCTTAGTCCCACGCCTGATGGTAAATGTTTTGCTGCATACGTCCGTCTTGACGCAGGCTGTCTGGTCTGCGTACATGCCCGCAATGAGATTGAAATATGATTTCGGAACGCCGTGCGCCCGCATGGCCTCCCACAGTGATTTATGCGAGACCGTGTCAAAGGCTTTTTTGAAGTCCAGTGTAGCCACCCATAGTGGGAGTTGGAACTCACGTGCTTTTTCTTGCAGAACAGCGAAGGCCAACAGATGATCATCTGTACTGAAACGGCGCCGGAATCCAGCCTGTTCGGGCGGCTGTTTTGGCTCCAAGATGGGTTCCAATCGGTTGTACAACAGTCGCGAGAAGAGTTTGTACATGAGCAGGATCATGGAGATCGGCCGGTAGTTCTGCGGTAACTCTGGCTCCCCAGATTTGAAAATCACGCTGATTTGGGTGTGTTTCCATTGGCGATGTGTTATTGTACCGTCAGTGACAATATCGTTGAAGAGGTTCCGCAATGCATTCCTCAGCGCCTCCCCTCCGTACTTCAGCATTTCAGCCGCTATCCCACTCGTGTCGGCGGCTTTGCCTGTCTTGAGCTGCTGGAGCCCATGCCGCAGTTCGTCATCAGTGAAGGGTGGAATGGTTCCGCCCTCTTCTGTGCCACCGGGCGTGGAAGAATCGAGTTCTGGACCCGTGGGCTGCGAGTACAAGGACGCGTAAAAGTCTGCAAATACATCGGCTATGCCCCGTCTGTCGTGCACATGTTCGCCAGGAGCTGACTGCATCGACGTGATGATCTCTTTCTTTTTTGCACTTTTGATCCCGCTGATTCTGTTGAGCCCTCGGAATTCCGTAAGAACTGTACTGATCCTGTTGTGTCGGTCCTGTCCGTCTGCGTTGCGAATCTCCCGCCGAATACGTTTGCGAATCTCCCGCCGAATACGTTTGTGGAGTCGCGGATCTCGGGGCGTCTCCCGTCCGTCCTCGAGCGAGGGCCTCTGAGAAGGGGGCAGGGGTGGGGGGTCGAGCATCCCACCCCTGCCCTCTTCCAGGGCAGGGCCCCGCGGCCCTGCCCCCTCCCGCGCGCCGCTGACCTATTCCCCTGGTGATCGGCGTGCACGTATCTACACATAGAGTTTTGCCGAGTACAGATGATTGTGTGCATAAGTAGACACACATCCACGTACTCATGCACCTGCTCAGCACACCGCTGTTGTTTCCTTCGTCTACTCACCAACCAGAACGTCGTGAACATCCGGGAGAGGTGGCGGAGGAGAGGCTGGTGGCGGAGGTGGTGGCGGGCGGGGAGGGGGAACGAGGAGCCAGACGAGGTGGTGGTGGAGGATAGGCGCCGAAAGGGGAAGCGAAGCAGAGCGGGCAGGGCCCGGAGGAGGACAAGGGGAGGAGGAGAAGAAGCAGCAGGTGCTGAAGTCGGAAGAGATGGGGAAAGGGAGGAGGAGGAGGAGGAGGACCAAGGGAGGAGGAGGAGGAAGCAGAGGACGGCTGGAGCGGCGGACCTGCCGCGCCGCCCGCTGCTCGTGGGCCTCCCGGCCGCTCGGCGGCCGGACCCGGCAGAAGACGCGAATGGAGCCCTTGAGGTCCTCGATGCGGTTGTGGATGCTCTTCCGCACCGCCTGCGAGCTCAGCTGAGGGAGAAGATGGGAGCGGACCGCAAGATTCAAGAACCACCGTCGTAACGCGAATGCCTGTTGCACTTGAAAGCCGTTTCTTCCTCACCAAGTGTGTGGAAACGGACGCAGGAACCAACAATGCAGATAACACAAAATACGAATTCGCTGGAAAACGCATCACCCCCGTGCCAGAGAGCCGGCAGCAGTGCAGAGATGATGGCAAAAGCCTGCGAGCACAGCTGAGTGGCGACAACCGAGCCCTGCCCCCACCAACCATCGATTCTCCTGGATCGATGGGAGGCGGGGATGGGGCTCGGGTTCCGCCACGTGTGCGACGAATGCCGAACCTTACCCCCGCCGCCCATCGAGTCGCCCGAATCGTTGAACGCAGGGTTCGGATGTCGCCGCCGAGCGATGAGAACGACTGGCGCAGGGGAGCCGACCGGCACGTGAGGGGCAACCTCAGGAGGGGGCGGAGACAGGGCTGCGAGGGGAGGTTGGCTGCTCTCCAGGTCTGAGACTTTTTACCTAACAGCGAAGACTGATAGGTTTCTAGTGGTCTCAAAAGAGAGCAGCAAATGACTCCACAAGGGGGTCTGGGCGGGTGCCGGACAGGGTGCCGCAGAACTCATTTTAAGCCAACAGTCACACACTTCGTGCTCTTCGACTTCCCAGAACTCCATTCCCGGGCCACATTCTGAATGCCCGGAGCCAACTGTAGGCCACTTCGTGCTCTTCGATTTCCCAGAACTCCATTCCCGGGCCACATTTTGAATGCCCGGAGCCAACTGTAGGCCACTTCGTGGTCTTCGAGTCCCCAGAACTCCATTCCCGGGCCACATTTTGAATGCCCGGAGCCAACTGTAGGCCACTTCGTGCTCTTCGAGTTCCCAGAACTCCATTCCCGGGCCACATTTTGGATGCCCGGAGCCAACTGTAGGCCACTTCGTGGTCTTCGAGTTCCCAGAACTCCATTCCCGGGCCAGATTTTGGATGCCCGTAGCCAACTGTAGGCAACTTCGTGCTCTTCGACTTCCCAGAACTCCCATTCCTGGGCCACACTTTCAGCAGGGGCAAGAGCACGACGAGGAGGAGGACGAGCAAGACCAGGAGGACGAGGGCGAGCAGGAGCAGGACGAGGAGCAGGAGGAGCAGGAGAAGAAGGACGAGCAGGAGGAGGAGGAGGACGAGCAGGAGGAGGAGGACGACCAGGAGGAGGAGGACGACCAGGAAGAGGAGGAGGAGGAGGAGGAGGAGGAGGAGGAGGGGAGGGGGAGGACTACCAGGAGGAGGAGGAGGAGGAGGAGGAGGAGGAGGAGGAGGAAGGAGGAGGAGGAGGAGGACGAGGAGGAGGAGGAGGAGGAGGAGGACGAGGAGGAGGGGGGGGGAGAGCACCAGGAGGAGGAGAACGAGGACCACCAGGAGGAGGAGGAGGAGGAGGAGGAGGAGGAGGAGGAGGAGGAGGAGGAGGAGGAGGAGAGAACACCAGGAGGAGGAGGACGAGCAAGACGAGGAGGACGAGAACGAGGGCGACCAGGGGAGGAGAGGAGGAGGAGGAGGAGGAGGAGGAGGAGGAGAAGAGGAGGAGGAGGACGAGGAGGAGGAGGAGACGAGGAGGAGGAGGGGGGGGGGGGAGCACCAGGAGAAGGAGAACGAGGACCACCAGGAGGAGGAGGAGGAGGAGGAGGAGGAGGAGGAGAGAGCACCAGGAGGAGGAGGACGAGCAAGACGAGGAGGACGAGAACGAGGACGAGCAGGAGGAAGGAGGAGGAGGAGGAGGAGGAGGAGGAGCAGGAGAAAAATGAGGAGGAGGAGGAGGAGGAGGAGGAGGAGGAGGAGGAGCAGGAGAAAGAGGACGAGCAGGAGGAGCACGAGGACGAGCAGGAGGAGGAGGAGGAGGAGGACGAGCAGGAGGGGAGGGCGGCCGGCTGCCCCGGCCGGCTCCTACACATGGCTGTTAGGTTGCTTTGCCGGGATAATGAGCGCTCTCGTTGCCTCTCGGCAGCTTTCCAGCCCCGGGATGCCTTCCAGGGGCTGCGCCTCGCCGAGGGGCGCCCAAGGCTGCCAGGATCGTCCCGAACGGCCACCGAAGGCCCGAGTTATGACCCGAAAACCACGTGGGTAACAGCTCACGGAGGATCGGCGATGCATCGCTGATGTATCGGCAGTAGGCCCCCGACAACGAAACCGCACGTTCTTGGGCGGGTTGTGCTTTCGGGCCCCTATCGGCGAGAACCGGCGATTGGGTGTCGATGCATACCCCCCTGAGCATATCCCCCCTCACGTTGCTCCCGAGAGCATCCCCCGTCGATCTGTTCGAGCATCTAGCATGTGGCTTCGCAGAGGGCCCAAGATGCCCACCTGCAGGTTCGGGTCGCGATGACGTCGGCGGAGACTTCAGATGCCGCGCGCGCCGCTCGACCTCAGAGCGATCGCGGACGGCTCGATGCCGGCAGACTCTGGGCCACCGGCGGCGCCCGGCCTGGCACGCCCGTGCCCGGGTCGCCGCCGGGTCGGCACGGCGCGAGCCTGCACGCACGAAAAAGACGGGCCTGCACGCACGGAAAGGACAGACGCGGGGGGCACATCCCTCGTCGATCTGGGCGAGGGGCGCTGGACCGCGCAGGGTGCACCAGGAGCCTCAGTGGGCACCCGAAGCCGTCCGAGGAGGATCTGCAACGTTGAGTGGACACCCTCTGGAGTGCAAGTTCCCTTTCGGAGGTGCCGGGTGCGGGTCAGAACCAGACATCCGACGCCGTGTTTTTGTTTCGCAGCGGGGCTCCCCAGAGGTCTGGACCTCTTCCTGGGTACCAGCTTTTCGTCTCGAGTCCGTCTTCGACCGCCCCGGTGCCCGGCGAGGGCCCCTAGAGTCCGAAAGTCGTATAAAAACCTCCGTCGTGCGTTTTGTCACGACGCGAAGGGGGGGGGTTCATTGGAAGCGGTTCTGGTATTGTATGCTCCTCGGCAGGTAGCGTTGCATGCGACAGTCCCAGCGGGGGCTGGGACGTGACAGCTCGCAGGGAGGGCGGTGACAGTGCGGCCAGGGACAGCGACGCTCTCACCAAGGACTGGGGATGATCCTGGGGCAGCTTCAGCGCAGTCCGGAAATCTGGGCGACGCAAGAGGAGGAACAACCCGTCCAGATAATGGTAATGGTAATGGTGACAAGGTCGGGGTAATCCTCCTGCTACCATCTGCAGGCTCCAGGTACCAGCACGCCAGGCGTGGTCAAGGCCAAACCAGAAGATGAGGCATCAGACGTTGGGAGATCCGAGCTACGTGCCTCCAGCACGTCCAAGGCCCTCGACAAGGGCTGCGACGACGAGGACCGAGGCAGCCAAGCACTCGGCAATGGCTGGGACGCGCCCGAACGTTGGGGCCATGGTACAGACGAAACACTCGGCCAGGTACGGAACGTCGCCATAGGTCCAGGTACCAGTGACGGAGGTGAGGTCGATTGCGCGTCCTGTCCGCCGTCACCTGGCACCGGCACCCCGGTCAGCGTCCAGCCGAATATATCAGAAGCCGCGTCCGTCAAAAGATACCTCAGAACGCTCGGAAGTCCGCACCAGGAGGTTGAGGATGATAGCGGCGGTGATCAAGGAATTCGGAACGGCGTCGAAGCTATTGGCCGCAAGTTCTCCGAGGCATCGAATGCATTGCGCGTGCGCGCAGGATTCCGGCCAAATGCTCTGGTTGGCCACCTCCGCTGGCGTTAACACGTTTGTGCTCCCTGGCACCACCCGGACATCAATAACCAAGGGCTCGGAGGAGCCCCTCGGAATATGATGCGGTTGGACCGCGTGGAATAGAAGGCATCACGAATCCCGCCGAGGGGCCATCCTGGAAGAAGGGGCAGGGGAGGATGACGAGACAGTGGAGGAACACACGGCAACGACGCGGACGACAAGGAAGGACGACGAGGAACGACGACGAAGACCGACGACCACGAAAACGACGCCGCTCTGGACTAGAGCAATTACTCACTGCGTGGAGCTCCCTACATGTGCATATCATACTCCTGTCGCTTCTCGCTGAAGAACTGTCTGTGAGCATCTGGGTGTGAGGGCGAGTCAGCGTGGACGGGCGTAACAACGACGACGACGACAGCGACGATGTCAGTGACTTCAGTGAGCATCTTCCAAGAGAGACGAGGGAAGAACAAGTGGGAAAGCGAGGGGGCATTGGACCTCCGAGGGGGAGAAGCCTGAGCGGGTCAGAGCATGAGTGATCTAAGTGCGGGTGAGTCTGAATGCGAATGAACCCAGGTATGGTTGAGTGTGAATGTCAGTGAATCTAGGTCTGAGAGAGTCTGAGTACGAGTGGGTCTGAGAATGCGTAAGCTTGAGTACGAGCGAGTCTGCATGAGAGTGAGTCTGAATGTGGGTAAGTCTGGGTGTGCGTCCGTATGAGTATGAATACAACAGGTGCGAGTTTGAGTCTTACTGGGTCTGAGTACGAGTGAGTCTGGACACGAGTGAATCTGAGGGTGGGTGGGCCTGAGTGTGAGCGATTATGAGTGTGAGTATGTATGAGTGTGAGCGCGTCTGAATATGAAAATGATGGATACGAAACTGGGCCTGAGCGGGTCTGGGTACGAGTGAGCCTGACGACGAGTGAGTCTGAGGGTGGGTGGATCTAATTTTGAGTGAGTCCGAGTGTGTGCAAATCTGGGTATGAGTATGATGAGCAGCACGAGGCTCAGTATGAGTGAGTCTGAGCACGAGTGAGTTTGGGCGTAAGGGAGTCTGGGACATCCTATCAATTTGGGCCCCCTAGGGTGTGAAAACCAGCGCCTCGCCAGAGACATCCCCCAAATTTGCTCTGAAGGCAGACGAGCCTGGACAGCAAAACAGGCAAAACGCTCGAGACCTCCGCGCAAGATGTGCCCCCCCCCCCCCCCCCCACGAGGGTGTAGGAACCAGCGCCTCGCCCGAGACATCCTCAGGATCTGCGCCGAAAGCGGAGGATGTTGGGCACCACAGCAAGTCAACCGCCCGAGGCATCACCGCAATATGGACGCGAACGGAGGAGTGCAAGACCTCCTGGCGCCCCCTCCCTTGGGGGTCGAAAACCAGCGCCTCCCCCGAGGCACCCTCAGACTGCTCCGAAAGCGGAGGGTGGTGGGCACCAAAACAAGCAATCCGCTCGAGACCTCCCCGCAATCTGGGCGAGAACGGAGGAGTGGAATACCCCCATGGCGGCTCCTGGTACCCGCGCCTCTTTCGAGGCATCCTGAAAATCTGATCCACCATCATCATCATCATCATCATCATCATCATCATCATCATCATCATCATCATCATCATCATCTGCATCATCAGCATCAGCATCATCATCATCATCATCAACAACATCATCATCATCACCAGCATCATAATCATCATCAACACCATCATCACCATCAACAGCAACATCAACATCAACATCATCATCATCGTCCTCACCATCCTCACCATCCTCCTCATCATCATCATCAGCATCATCATCATCATCATCATCATCATCATCATTATCAACATCATCATCATCACCATCATCGTAATCGTCGTTACCGCCGTCATCATCATCAGCATCATCATCAACATCCCCAGCAGCATCAGCATCATCATCATCACCATCATCATACTCAGCAGCAGCATCACCATCACAGTCAACAACAACAGCATGCTCAGCATCATCATCATCAACATCATCTTTACCAACAGCATCGTCATCCTCCTCAACAGTATCGGCATGATCATTATTACACCGTCATCATCGTCATCATCACCATCGCCACCATCAACATCGTCATCATCGTCATCATCGCCACCACCATCAAACTCATCACCGTCATCGTAATGGTCATTATCATTATCGGCATGATGATGATGATGATGATGATCATCATCATCATCATCACCGTTATCACCCTTTACCCTCATCGTACTCATCATTACCATTATCATCACATCATCACCATCATCCTCGTTATCATCATTATCATCACCACCATATCGGTCGATCCTTATGTTCGGCGATGACGGGGGTCATGGGTGGGGGGCGGGGGAGGGTATGACGTAACGCCCCCCCCCCCGCCCCCCCCAGCCGTGTGGCTCTGGCACCACAGCCGCGCCCGCGCGGACGTCGCGACGAGCGACGAGCGACGACGACGCGAGCAGCATGTAGGTGGCGATGTGCCCCAATGCGCCTGTGTACACCACCACGCTCGCGTGCACCACAGCGCGCGTGTACATCACAGCGCTTGCGCACACCGCAACAACCGTGTGCAACGCAGCGCCTGTGTACACCACAGTGCTTGCGTACACTACAGCGCTGGTGTACATGTGTACACCGCAGCAGCCATGTGCAACACAGCGCCTGTTAACACCACATTGCTTGCGTGCACCGCAGCGCCTGCGCACGCCACAGCGCCTGTCTACACCACAGCATCCGCGTGCAACGCAGCGCTGGTGTACACCACAGTGCCTGCGTGCATAGGACGGGTCGAAGGAGCATGAAGGAGCATGTATGTGAGGATCTGCTGCGGACAACTAAACGCCACGACAGGAAAGTGCTGATAATCGAATGCGACGTTTTTCCCTCCTCCCTCGTCCTCGTCTTCCTCCTCCTCTTCCTCCTCCTCTTCCTCCTCCTCCTCTTCCTCCTCCTTTTCCTCCTCCTTGCCCCATGTCGTGCGGGTTGGCGCTACGGCGAACGTGCGCATCTCAGCGTGCACCGCAGAAAGGTCTATTGAATCGGTCCACTTGCTTCTCGGACGGCCAATTCAGCTGGAGCATCCTGGAGCAGATGGGAGGCGTTAGGGTAATGCGGGCGGACTCGGGAAGACTCGTAGTTCTAGCGGCGCTCCTATGTTCATAAGGCTTCCTTTCTATCGTTTTCTCTGAAATCAACGAGCGCTCCATTTTGTCAGAAAGACTCCTTCTAACATTCTATATGCAGCAGTGGTGCTGCGTCGCACACAGCTGCTGTGGTGCACACAGGCGCCGTGGTGCACACAGGCACTGCAATGCACGCAGGCATTGTGGTGTACACTGGTGCTGTGTTGCACATTGCTGATGTGGTGTACGCAGGCGCTGGCGTGTACACTAGAGCTGTTGTGCCCGCAGGCACGGTGGCACAAACTGACGCTGTGTTGCACGCGGCTGCTGTGGTGTACATAGGCGGTGTGGTGTACACAGGCGCTGTGGTGCACGCAGGCACTGTGGTGTACACAAGCGTTGTGGTGCAGATCGCCACCTACATGCTGGTGCTACCCGTCCTTCGTCATTCCAAGGCATTCCCAGACGCCGCCAACGCGAAACGTAACGTCATCGACACCCTCCATCCCCCCCAGATGATTGCCGTCATCGGCCCAGAACAAAAAACAGGCTCCAGCCGCGTCCGCGCGCACGACGACGATGAGCGACGAGCGACGAGCGACGAGCGACGACGACGACGACTGCGGACCAGACTCCTATGCGGATTCCTACGCGGATCCCAATGCGCACGGCGGCAGTGCCCGGAGCGCACTGGGGAGGGGAGCGTTACGTCATATGGGGGGGGGGAGCGGGGGCCATGACGCCCGTCATGCCCCAAGCAATAAAAAGAAACGGGCTCGTAGTGGCCCTGCGTCTGACTCTGGGTGAGAAGAGGAGGAGGAGGAGGAGGAGGAGGAGGAGGAGGAGGAGGAGGAGGAGGAGGAGGAGGAGGAGGAACAGGAGGAGGAGGAGGGAGTTGAGTGGGTGGGTGGATGGGTCCTCGGCGCGGCCGGAGTAAAACCAAAAAAACATCCTTTGGATACGGGGGCAAACAACTGCATGAAGGAGTCGGAGCTCCGCGCGGATTTCTGAGATCGGCGCTGGACCCTCATCCACGGCGCGCGGGGCGGCGCTGCAGGCCAAGCCAGGGGGGGCCGAGCGCCGATCCAAGAACTCCCCGCGGAGCTTGGCGGCGCGCACAGGGGTGTAGGGGGAGAGGCCCGAGGTCTATAGAGAAGGCCAGCGCCCTCTGAGAAGTAGGGGTGCTTCTGAGAAGCCTTCCCCCCTCCCCCTACCCCCCCCTGCGCGTGGCCGAGGAGCTCCGAAAGTTGATGTTGTGCTGTGGCTTCTTCTTCGCCGAAGGCCGCCCGAGGGCCGCCCGAGGGCCGCCGCCCGGAGGGCCTCGGCCTCCCGCAGCTCGTCCTCGGTGGCGCCGAGGCTCCTGGCGCCGTGGATGGCCCACTTGAGGCGCTCCTGCTTCCGGGGGAGGGGGGGCGCGCTGCTTCCAACGCTTCCGTAAAGTCGGACTTGATTGGAGAGGACACGTCGCCATTGGAGTGTAAGAAGGCATGTGTCGCGAGGCACAGGACACAAGGATACCCTTGAGCTGGCAGGGTCGACCTACTAATCTGGGCCGACTGTAACGTAAGTTACCAGAAACGTTTTCCAGCCTCGGGGTGCTCTCCAGCAGTTGCGCACCACCGAGGGCGTTTTTCCGGGGTGCCCTGATCGTCCCGAACGGCCGCCCGAGGCCCGAGATACGGCCCGAAAGGTACCAGGCGTCCGCGCCGAGGGGAGGAGGCAGAGAGGGCGCCAGGATGGGGACCAAATCCTCCACCGGGGGGGGGAGGGGGGCGCCCGGGATGAGGAGAAGGGAGGAGAACGATAGGGGAGGGCAAGGAGTACAGTACGACGACGAGGAAGGAGGAGAGGGGAGAGGGAGGAAGGGAAGGAGGGAATCCACAAGGTTCCCCTAAGTCTTCTGCTGACTGCAGAGCTTCCAACTGGTTCTAGGAAGTTCAGGAGGCCAGGGGGGAAGCCTCCTCCTCCTCCTCCTCCTCCTCCTCCTACTACTACTACTACTACTACTACTCTTCGTTATCATGTTCATCACCATCTTCATGTTCATCCTCATATCCATCATCACCATAATCACCTTCGCTATCATAGATATGATCATCCTCAACATCATCAACAGCAGCAGAAATTGCATCATCATCATCATCAACAGCATCAACATCGCCATCAGCATCAACACTATCAGCAGCATCACCAGCATGATCAACATCATCACCATCATCAACATCACCAACACCATCACCACCACCATCATCACCATCATCAACAACAACATCAACATAACCATCAACACCAGCATTACTATTAGCATAGTCATGATCGCCATCACGATCACACCCGTACTACCTATAAGTAACATCATTATCAAACGTCATCCCCACCACCCCCGCCATCATCATCATCACCATGAAGCATCATCACCATCATCACCGTCATCATCACCATGTTCGAAATCATCATTCCCGTACTCGTCATCAACATCATGATCCTCCTTCTCATCACCAGCACCATCAGCACCATCATCCTCATAATGATCACCAGTAATACCATCACCAACACACACACACACCATCATCGTGATCGCCACTGTTACCATTACCATGGCAAACAACATCATAAACACCATCATCATAACCATACTGATTTGCCTCCTACTCCACTTCGCCCGTGTCGCCGGCATCTTACACCCACTCCTCATCCTCATGAAGTGTTCGAAATGTTTTGGTGGCGGTGCAGATAATCGTGGGCGACCGCTGACTCAATCGACCTGGGTTGCGTGACTTGTACGCTAGCTTCCAAACGCTATCGCCGAACCCGCTCATAGTCACTCGCGTTTTGATTCGCACTCGCCCGCTACCCCACAGCGGAAGATCAGCAGCAAGGCTGCATCCCCAACCCTGGTTGAGAAGACTCGTTGTGTAATTGACGCGTCATTTTCGCCGCCATATCTTGCGAGGATGGATGGGAACAAGTCCAAGTCCACACCCTCTGCAGATTGAATGGGTGACACGGACACTCCGCCATGCTATCAAGGAGAAAAGGTTGGGTGCGACAACCTGCCCATTGCCAGTCCGCTCCCTCTCTCTCTCTGTCTCTCCCCCTCCTCCCTCTCTCACTCTCTCTCTCTCTCATGTATCATGTATATATATATGTACATACTGTGGCTCGCCCCCCGTATGTGTATCCAAAACCGTTATTTCTCTTCAGCCTCCTGTTCTTCCTCTCACACACACACGCGGTGCATCGACATACACGTTTCAGAGAAAAGCTGTAGTGGGCCCCCTTCTGAGTTATGTGCTGAAGGACTTGTAGTCCAATGGGCGCGTCTGTATGCGCGCCAATACACCCCACTACTCCGAGTGCACCAAGGTGGGACCTACACCTTTCCGTCCTCCTGAACCGATTGAAAGGCAGTGGCACATAGAAAGAGACTTTAGGGTGGAGGGATTAGGGGGGCAAGGAGAGGAAGGAGAAGGCGGAGGAGGCGGAGCAGGAGAAGAGGGAGGAAGAGGGAGGAGGGAGAAGGACGAGGCGGAGAAGGGACAGGAGAAGCAGGAGGAGCTCGGGGGGGAGCGCAAAAGGGCCCCAGGGGAACGTCCTGGCAGCCCAAAAACCTGACATTGTGCTCGTTGTCCGCAGCGTGGCCCCCCAGAGGTCTGGACCGATGCCTTGGGACCAGCTTTTCATCCTGGGTCGGTCCTTCATGGTCCTGGAGCCAAATGATGCCCCTGAGAGGCCGAAGACTGCCAACAACCTCCCGCCACCATTTTTTACGACACGATGCTGCAAGACGCCCCACCCCACCTCCCACACCCCCCTCCATGAGGGGGACGATGGCGAGGACGGCGCTGGGAGGAGGCACTCCTTCACCTCCGACAGCGCGTCGATGTCCTCGCGGTCGGCAGCGACGGCCGAGTCCAACCTCTCCTGGAGGGCCAGGGAAGCGACCCTCCGCGTCCGCGACCTCCTCGTCCGCCTCCTCCATAATTTTCTCCCTCTCCCTCCATCCACCTCCTCCCTCCTCCTCATCCTCCACGCCTCTTCCCCCTCCTCCTCATCCCCCTGCTCTTCCAAACTCCCTCCTCCAGCCATCGTGCCTCGTCCTTCATCCTACTGTGCAACACGTACCTACCTCATCTTAACTTCATTTTCCTTATCCTTCTCCCTCCTCGAGGATTCTCTTCTTCCCATGACTGTCCCGTGGAGCCGAATCGGCCTCAGCAATGCCTCGGACATTCCCAGTGACAATTTCTGTCTAATTGACGCTGTCGCGCTTCAGTAGCTCCCCGCGAAGCGAAGGTCGGGCCCTCCCTCCGCGGAGGGAGCAGGAGGTAGTAGGAGGGAGGGGATGCCGGCGGGCCGGAGGGGCAGGAGGGTCAGGAGGAGTGAACGGATGAGAGGAAAGGAGCGGGATAGGAGAAGCGGGAGGAGGGGGACAAGTGGGAGGAGGAGGAGGAGGAGGAGGAGGAGGAAGAGCAGGAGGAAGAGGAGAAGGAAGAGGAGGAGGAGGAGGAGGGGGGCGATGAGCTGGCAGGAGGTCTCTTAGGTGGGCCCCATACAACAGCCCCAGTCCAAACATCGGAGGTACAGTCTGCGCCCACGGGCGCAGATTCCGAATGCCGTGAGCCTCACAGCTCGGTCCCAAATCTGACAGAGACAGCCCTCCACCCGCCTCCAGAGAGCCGGTGCACATGCAGAGGTCAAATATGGAGGCGGGATGGGGAGGAGGAGGAGGAGGAGGAGGAGGAGGAGGAGGAGGAGGAGGCCGGCCGGCTGCCCGGGCCGGCCGGCTGGCCGGCCGTGCCCGTACGCCCCTGCTTCGTACTGATCTTCGACGAGCCATGTCGCCGCTGGCTGCTGGCGCTGGCGTGTCTGCTCGGCTGCGCTGGGCGGATGCCGCCGATGGCGATGAGAGGGATGGGGGTCGACGAGGCTGACGTGGACATGCCAGCGCGGGACGCTGCTGGAGCCAGCGGCTCCGCCGCGCGGCGCGGCGCTGCAGGCTTGCAGCGGCGGCGGGTGCGCCAGGAGCGGGCGCGGGACCTTCAGCCGCCTTCGCAGCGGCCAGCCGCGTGCAAGCAGTGTCACATCCCCTTCGTGGAGCACGAGCTTAGGCTGTGCTCGTGGAGCAACCGGCAGAGGCACAGCTGGTGGTGCCTCGGCTGCTGCACGGCGGCGAACGTGGCCGCCGACAACGTAATCCGACCCTTTCGGCGCGCTGGGCAGGAGCACGTGGAGGAGGCGCGTGCGGCTTTGACTGCAGTAGCGGCGCGCGAAGAAGGAGAAGGAGCAGGGGGAGGAGGAGGCGGGGGCGACGCGGCAGCTGCGCGAGGAGAGGCTGGGCAAAGCACCGTGCCAGTGATGCACCTGGCCGGGGATACACCAGCGCTGCCGGACCGCGCGTGGTGGGAGGCGCTGCCGTGGCGAACCGCTCTGAGCACGGGCGTCTCCACCTTCGTGCAAGTCCCATGGACCGCTACCGCGGCGCGATGGTGGCAGCGCGCCGCAAGGCGCTGGAGGTGCTCAGGAAAGCCGACGCCCAGGGGCCCGCCACCGCCGAGTGGAAGATGGTCTTGCTCTTTGACCTGGTGCTTCTTGCGCGGCCGCGGGGGGACGGGCCAGCCTGCGCGGAACTCCTGGAGGAGCGCCTGCCGCTATGGTGGGGCGGTCACTGGGCATGGGCCTCCGCTGCGGGCGGCCGGGGCTGCTGGGCCGAGGGGACCAGCGAGGCCCGCCACGAACAAGCAGAAGGCGCAGCGGATGCACACCCTGGCCGCGGCTGGCGAGGAGGCCCGAGCCTTGGCGGCAGCCGCAAACGCCCCGCTCGCGCCGGGCTTGCTTCCCGGAGGGCGGGCCGGGGCCGCAGCTGCCGCCCGCCGCACCGCCGCGCGCGCCGCCCGACGCGGAACTCCGGGAGCAGGTCGAGAACAAGGTGCGGAAGCTGCTGCGGCGCCCTCCGGCTCGCGGCGCCTGGCCTGCTGGGCAGGCGGCTCGGGCACCTCGCGGCCAGCGCCAGCGACAGCGAGACTTCGCGTCTGCTGGCCTGGGTCGCCGTGCGCGTGGCCTTTGGTGAGCTGCCCCAGGAGACACTCCAGGCGCTGCGGACAGGGGAGCTGGTGGCACTCGCAAAGGGCGCCGTGGAGGTCCGCCCACTCCTGGTGGGGGCCACAGTCCGCCGTCTCGGCCTGCGAGGGTTGGCCTGGGCGCCGACGCAACTGTCCGAGGCGGCCGGCGAACACCAGTACGGGGTTGGACGCGCGAGCGGCGCGGCCCTACTGGTAAAGCGCCTCCAAGCCCAGGGAGAGACCCGGCCGCGCGCGACGTTTATCAGGGTACCAGCGCGCACAGCGGCCTGCTAGTTTGGCGCGACCAGCGCGGCCGCGGTGGCGCTGACCGCTGGGCACTTCCCAACGGGCACTTGAGTGCGAGTCGGTGACACAGGCGGGCGCGATATCATGGCGACGCCGACAACGGTAGACGCGATTATGATAGTAGCGATGGTGGTGGCGATGGTGGCGATGACGACGCCAGGGCCAATGACGGTGCTGATGTTGATACGCCCGACGATAACGATGACGATGTCCTCGCGTCGGCGACGAAGGTTCTTGTTCGACATGCGCGCATGGCCGACGCGCGCGAATGACACGTGGTATCATTTGACGCGGATTGTGCCCCCCCCCAGCACGCGCGCAAGGGCGTCCGAATGAGTTCGACATGCGGTGCGAGAGGCCATTTTGGCAAGAATTGAAGTAAGCATGGAAAAACCATTGGCTTCCTTAAGTATCCGCAAGACCGCGAGCGCAGGCTTTTCTTGAAAACCCGATGCTGTAAAACCATATGCTTTGATACGATTTCGGGGCGCTCGCGTTTGCATTCCATGCGAAGCCTCAATTTTTTGAATATTTCGGCATGCGCGCGCGACGACGCGCGCGCGCGTGCACGTCGTTTCCTTCTTGCAGGATTATTGCGACTTCACGCGCGCAAGGGCGTTCGAGCGATTTCGATATGCGCGCGCGAGAAACCCTTTTGGTGACATGTTCTAACACATTTAAAAAACATAGGGTATTCTTAAGAACTCGCAAGATCGCCGGCGTAGTTCTTCTTGAAAGCCGTTGGGAAGAGATGAACTTTGCTAAATGAATGTATACATTATATATATATATATACAATTATGTATGTATGTGTATATATTTACAAGATTTTAAGGCTCGCTGCGCTTCGCCTTCTAATCTTGATCCTTGCACCTACGATGTTTCTGGGCGCGGGCGAGAACACAATTGTTCCATGAGGTGTGTGGGAATTGTGCGAGCGGAGGCGAGGCGAGTGCGTTGGTCTGCTGAGGCCGTGTTGGAGGTCTTTGCGGGGGCATCCTGGACAGTCTTGAGCCCATGTTTGGTCCTGTTGGAGCACTATGGGGCCGTCTTGGGGCCTCTTGGGCCTTGCAGAGGACGTCTCGGAAGTGCCTTCTGCTGTCTTGGGCTCCCGATGTAGGCCTCGTGTCGCTCTCTTCGGGGTATTTTGGGCCGTCTCGAAGCATTGTGGGGCTCTCTTGGGAGCCTGTGGGGTTCATCTGGGGTCCATGTGGGGGGGGGTGTCGGTGACATGCCGGGTTTTTCCTTGTAATTTGATAGGTAGAAGGAATATATTCGCGACTCTCGATTTGGAAATCCGATCGAAACTTTAGGTATTGTTCTGTTTGTGGAACCGGCATGCGCGCGCGACGACGCGCGCGTGCGCACTTGATTCTTGAAAACTGATGATTTGTGGATTTGTGATGAACGAGAGCGCGCATCATATTCTCTGCAACGGGTGAAGGGAGGGCAAACGCTGGCCCGGCTGGGATGGTCTGAACTCGCAGGGAAAATGAACACTGAGGCAGAAACATATGTAAATCACAATGCGCGAGGCCAGCTTGATAAGTCCCAGGGGGTACTGGGAGGGTAGACTCGACATGCTTTTCAGGAAGGAGACCTTCTGTGTTACAATCGAATTGGCGCAATGTGTTGCAGCTTATGTCGAGCAAGCTACGCTGTGCAATCTAGGCGGCGTCGGGGCGGCGACAGGGCGGCGACGAAGCGGCGACTGGGCGCCGACGGCGACAACGTAGCCGCCAGACCTGCACACAGGCACAGACGACGGGCGGCGACGAGGCGGCGACGGGGCGGCGACGGCGACAACAGCCAATCTGGCAGACAGGCCCACTGATGGGCGGCGACGAGGCGGCGACATAGCCGCGAGACCGGCAGAGAGGCTCGGTCCCTTACAGGAGATCGGAGAAACCATAAATGCAAGCACCGCATGGGATATATATATATATATATAACATGTATGCACCCATACACTATGAAGAGAGAGAAGGAGAGAGAAAAAGAGAGAGAGAGAAAGGGAGAGAGGGAGGGAGAGAGAGAGGGAAATTGAGAGAAAGAGAGAGAGAGAGAGAGCACAGCACAATACCTGCCAGCGCGTACAGGACACGGCAAGTGCACCGCATGACAAATGAGTCAGTGTGCGACGGCCGAGGCCAAGTGAACAGTCTGCCCAGGCAGCCAGGAACGGGCGCCCGGGCCCAGCGCGCAGCCCAGCGCGAACGTGCAAGGGAGAGCACGTCTGTCAGGAACCGCGCGGGGCAGCGCCAAGGAAATCAACTAACATACTGAGGCACAAGGAGGCCAGACGCAAGGGAAAGGAAAACACCTTCAACCCGTGGCGCTGCGACTCCCACGAAAGACCCCCCCCCTGCCTTCTCAGAAACTACCTATATCATTGGAATGGTCATGGTGGTGTTGACGGCGGCGTCACGAAGTATCAGATGATCCAGCAGCGCTGGAGAAGGCATTCTAAACATCACCATTACCAGTAATATTGCCGTCACCAACATAAGAAACACTTGATGTATAATGAATACCCACTGCCATCATCGTGGTCGT